TTAACAATCCGGGTACATCACTTTGGGATGGTCACGTTAAGGATTTTCACATCTTGGTACGGCTTGTCTGCTTTGTCTGTCTTCACTTTCTCTATACCCTGTTAAGTTGGAAACATGTGAGCTTGTTTTTCCGCAAGACACAGTAAATTCTACAAAAAGATGGGGCCTGCTGAGACATGAGAATTCACTAGCATGCCTTATCAAGTTACGAAATAGGACAATTTACTGTTGTCACTCAACGGCGAAAAGAATAATAATAAATTAACATGATAATTAGCAACTATCCTAAACCTAGTAACGGAAAAATCCAATTTAGACAATGCTTGAATAACAAATAGCCCCTCAACATATATGAAATTAAAAAAATACAATCACAGATTCACAAGTCAACGGCATGTTATGGAATTCTGAAAGTGAATATGAATCATTGAATATTTACATAGGTTATTAAACTTCAAACGTAGCGTTCACAATTAGCACAATTTTTGGTCATAAAAATATGGAGGAGTAATAGTGAGTGCATAGGTACCTGTACAACATCCATCCCTTTAACAATTCTGCCGAAAACAGTGTGCTTGTTGTCCAACCACGGAGTGGCCACAGTCGTAATGAAGAATTGGGAGCCGTTGGTGTTGGGCCCAGCATTAGCCATTGAGACTGTGAAAGGTCTGTCATGCCGCAAACTGTAGGAACAAAATCCAGTCAGAAATGCATCAAATCAGTTTTAGGGAGATCAAAACCTCAATGACCGACAGTTGGGCATTGAATCATCATAGGCTTTATGGGCAGAAGGAAGGCATATCACGAATAGCAAAAACCACAGCAAACTATATTGGCCATACTAACCTTTTATGGAACTCATCTTCGAATTCTCTTCCCCAAATGGACTGCCCGCCTGTACCATCTCCCAGAGGGTCTCCAGTCTGGATCATAAAACCTTTGATGACCCGGTGAAAGATCAGATTATCGTAATAGCCATTCTTGCAGTGTGTTGTGAAGTTTTCCACTGTCCTCGGGCATTCTTCAGGATACAGCCGCATGTGGATATCGCCCATGGTAGTATGCAAAATCTGCAAACAATGAGAAAAATTATCACTGCTATAGAATTCTTCTTCATAGTTAGAAGCATCACTGCTACAGTCTTCCTGATTCTTCTTTGTACTTTTGGCATTAAAAGTAAGATTACCACTTACCACATTATCAGGGAGAGATGTTGTTACAGCTTTTCCAATATCTGATACGGCCAAAAGTTCATCTGCAGGAGGTTTCTCATTAAATACGTCTCTGCCCTTAGCTGCATCTTCCGGCTCCTCAGGTTCCCTCCGACTGTTCAAAATAAAATAAAATGGAAAAATGTGATAATTTGTACCAGCTTTTCTGTACCCTATTTTAAATGATTAAATGCAGTCTCAACTTTAACATTGAACTCAGGTGTTCAAGTAGTATAGGGTACACTAATTATTAACAGGTATCAACTTTGATTTGACAATTCAGTATTTTTTTTCTTATGAATGTCTACATAAAACAATTGGTAGCGGCATGATGAACAAGTGGTTGTAGTAATAATACTGTTCTAAGGAGTTCCAGATTTCAAAAGCATTAGCAGTTAGCAAGATCAAGTTCACAAAGTTCAACGGCTAGTAATATCCCCGGACATATGCCATCATCGGGCATGTAGTACCTGAATAAGTAAATTCGATGCTTCTTGAAAGCACAACACAAGAGAGTAGGATCTATTAGAGGCTCTTTGCTTTCATTGACATTTGCAGCAGCAGACGGAACTTTTCTTACTTTTTTACTACTTCGGTCACCTTGGTACAAAGCAATTCTTAAGAATCTATCATTGTTCTCCACCTTCCCTAGAATCCTTGCAACTTTGTTGGTTTGCAGATTCACAACCTAAAAAGACACAACAGGTGAAAGACATCATATACCAAATTAAAGGAAATATGAGCAAACATATGAAAGAAATAAAATGAAGTAAATATTGAACACTTTCCCACTAGAGTGACATGTAGCATACTTTAATTCCAAGAAGAGTGCCATATATGAGAAAGTTAGCACTTTCATCAAACACGGCATTAGGCTGAGGTACATTTTCTGTTTTTTCCATTTCTTTCTCCACCGCCATTCGCCTCCCAAAATCTATAGCTTCAAGCCTGTATAGAGCAACATCACTCCTTTGCAGATCTTGGGCAACCTAAGGTGGAGGGCAGATAAATGTCATAACCATAAGTAGAAAGAAGACATCATATGACAATAAGCAGGTTATCTACTACCTCAAGTGATTCATCATACACACGCCTCAATTTTCCGGTTCTAAACCAAAATACACGTATCCTACGATCAGGGGATGTGATTGAAAATTGCTTTCCGTCTGGGCTAACCTGAAATACAGTTCCAAGTGCAACTGAAAGCCTATTGCTAATCCAAAAATATATAAAGATAAAGTAATACTGAACTACCAAATACAACTAGCAAAGAATATGATATATTACCTCAATAGTAGAAACAGTAGTCTTGCTTTTCACAATTGCAAAAAGATCCGTATCACTTTTAAGTTTAAAAGTTACTCTGCATGTACAATATGGAAAAAGTCCCATTACACAAAGACAAAGACCAAACAGGAAGCCCAAAGATATGAGAGCTTAATAATAATGATAATAACTAATCAAGAAATTTTCAAATCTTAGAAAGTAGTTGATGAAGACGAATTTCTGAACGTTAATTCTAGAAGGCTAAAACGGGTTGCGGCTGCTCCTACTGGCCCCTAGGGCGTAGGCTCAATTATCCTTATTATTTAGTTAATATAATTAGTTAAGTTATTGGGCTCTTAAATGGGCTATAGGGTTTAATTATTATATATTAGGGTTTAGTATATATATTGGTGGCTAAGAGTTAGATTAGCATCATTCTTTCATTATCTACTTGTTATGATTGTCCTTCACTCTATCAGTAGTCCAATAATCGTTTGGATAAAATAAAACTCACAAACGGATCAGCTAGAAACTACAGTTTAGGCGACCATACTTAACTGCTAGATATTAGTTGAAGCATTAAGACCCATCAGACGGTGATAAGCTATATGAAGATCAACTGAGGCCCCATGATTAATAACATCTAAGCAAAGACTACTTTCTGATCCATTTGCCTCATGATGTGCATCTCCAAATGCATGTTATCTCTTAAAACAAATCCACCATTAGCAAACTAACTCGATCTTAAAAAAACTTACCCCGATTCAGGGAACTGGAGTGAGGCAGGTCTCCAGTACTCAATAATCCCTTTGTCATCTGCAGAAATCACAGTGTCGCATTCGTGGTTGTATTTCATACATTTTATTGGGCCCAGGTGTATCTGATCAATACGATAGGAGCCAAAGTTTAATAATGTTGTAAAGCAACAGCAAGTCAACGATTCACAAGATAATTAAGTGAAAATCACTACCTCTCTAGATGCCATGGGTTCATTTGAACCCGATCGAGCATCATATATGTTAACTACAGAAGAGTTGCGGTCGCTAACAGCTAATTTGGCCTTTACATCCCCTTGTTTGTAAACCCATTCAACACAACCAGCAACAAATGGAAGGCGTATCATGGCCATCATGTCATAGTTAAAAACATCATATATTTTCACGGAGCGGTCATTAGAAATCGTACAACAAAGAGCCCCGTCTACACTAACCTGCAAGGCCAAGACAATAACTAATTCCAGTTATAAAGTAAATGACCACAGTTATCTAATGTAAAATAAATGGAACAAATATTTCTGAATCAAACAAAAACGTAGGTGGTAAATGACCACAGTAATAACAAGGGCCATCAATTGCTACTCATGTGAAAAAGAGTTCGGAACCAGGGGCATCTCCGGTCAATGGGAAAAAAGATGGACCTAAAACCTCCCTAGCTGACACGCATATATTTTTATCTTTATTTATTTTCAAAGGGAGAAGAAAGAAATCAATATTGGGGACTGGGATGTGTGGAGCCCAGGCTTGGCCCCCACCTATGCCCCTGGTCAGAACACTATAAAAATCGTAAAAAGAGTAGCCTAAATAAAAAACTGGATAAAACATCATCATATAATTGTAATATTATCACGAAACAAGAACTAAGGGGAAACTTACTGCCAGACCCTCAATTGGACCAAGATGGGACCTAAAATGTTTTGCAAACTCTATCCCAACGCCCTTTTTCTTCCAAAACTTTAAGTGTCCTGTACACAGACCAATAAATAAAAGCTTAAACATGGGTGGTGAAAACCAGTAACATCACAGGTCACTACTGATCACTTTGAGATAATCACAAAAACATTGGTGAAACAAATTAACATTTGACAACATAACTTATTAAATTAACTGAACGGCGTACCAGAAAATTTTTGGATTATCATGTTGATATTGACATGAATATGATCAAATAGTACACGCAAATGGATGGCGGAAAGAAACTCTGAATATTTCAGGACGGAAATGTAAGCAAGTAATAATTATTGCTTCTGTCGGAAGTGAAATAATGTGGCATTGCAAATAAATTGCAAGAAAGCAGGTTACTTGTACTAACAGGAGGGAAAGTCAAGAATCCTAAGAATCATTGTTAGTACTAATAATCCATTTGGGGACGCACTTAAAACCTCTCGTTCTTGAGTTGGAAAGCAAACTATCTTCAGTGTATGGCATAGAAACCATATTTACCTTGACGCTATCCAACAAAATCTTAACGAAGATGAGTGATCTGAGGTTGATATTATTGCTAGGAAAAATAGTCAATTTCAATTTTACATTATTTTTCTTTTCTCCAAGTTCTACCCCCAACCACCAACAAAGACATATCTATTCAACACAATTATCCATTTCACATTCAGTTCATAAATATCAATTGCACTAAAGTACTATAGATAAATAAAATTGTTGTCGAGCTGGTACAGAGTAACTTTTAGACCATCTATATAAAAGCATAGGTTGAGAGAGCAGATCAGCTCATTTCAAGGTAAACAAGCAGTGAGGTTCCAGAGCTTGCTCGTCCAACTTCTGCACAAGCTAAGAAATTTCAAAAGCTAATTCCATATTTCTTTAAAAGGATTGAGCATTCTCTAGCTTGTTGTTCCAACTTTCGCACAAGCTAAGAAATTTCAAAAGCTAATACCATAGTTTAAAAAGATTGAACATTCTCGAGCTACTCCTTTAAAGTACTACAGTATATAACATCAGCTTCAGCCAAATACGGAAAAAGAGAGAAAGTAGGGAAAAAGAATCATTCTTCCCATCAGATAAGGACATTTCACAGTTCAATGAGACTCCCGATTCTACAACGACATACTTTCTCAAAGTTTTTAGGTAATCAAGGGAACTAAAAAAACAACTGCTGCGGATAGAAGGGGATTGTAATCAAGGGAACTAATAAACTGAACTCAAATTGAAAGCACAATTCGAAGTTACATTTGCTAACTTAAGACAAACAAAACAGTATTGACTGTGAAATATTCATTTCCGCAACTTGGAATAAAAAGTTTTGAGTTCACTCATACCGTCAGAACTCCCAGATATGAAGAAATCAGCTGCTGACACAGCCACATGTGTTACCACATCGCGATGCATATAACTTTTCTCATACCTGCATGTGATTCAAACAGCACGATCAAATTTATCCCCCAACTTCAATAACAAATATAAGTTCGAACTGCAAAATTACGTCCCTCAAAACCAAAAACCAAAAACCCAAAACCCTAACAGATGCAGAATTTATGCAAAAGAAGCACATACATGTTGGCGGATGGGAGGGCGTCGAGATAAGCCTGTTCAAACTGCAGGGGACGTTTAGCCCGGGCACGAGGCGCCGGGCCGGGCCCAACCATGGGCTCTTCATTGTCGACGACGGGCTGTTGTCCATTGTCTTCCCGAGCTGCTTCCATTCACTTTTCACAAGTTATTGTTGTTGGTTTTCTCCCCCTTTCTACTATGTCAGGGGTTTGATTGATTTAGGACTCACCAAAATTTCCTTTCTTTTCTTTCCTTTCCTTTTATTTTTTTTTTTATTATTTATTTGTTTGCTCATT